GAATATGATATGTTCGGATGCTTAATAACTCCGAGAAAATTTAGGTCGTGGCCGGCTATGCTAAGTTCAGGCTGATAATCGTCGCCAACGACCATAACGGAGCATTTTTGCCAAAGAGGCGCCGTGTGCAGCACCACCGGGCAAAAGCCTGAGGAGCTCGAGCACAATGTTGCGATCTGCCGGTTTAATAAGGTTTATTGGTAATTTCGACCAATCTCTGGCGTTTCGGTCCCCCTAGGTTTGAATCAGCTGTTGTTTCAGTGTTCCCTTTCCAGCTACCCGACAGCAGCTGCTTCTCTTTTCTCCTGCGTTCCAACGGCCGCGATAAGCTTGCTAAATAACAGACGCTCTACTTAAGCACGACAGCCCCTAGACTTTTCCTCAGCTTATTCAAGGTCACGCTGGCAGACAAGGCTATCTTGCGCGCATAGGCCAGCCTGCTTTCTCCTATAGTCCCTTGTGTTTATGTCCCCATGATGGACGCATTTATCACACGCAAGCAAACAGTCCATTCGTGGAAACTTGCCTTGTGTACAAATAAATCGCTCCTATAATCTACCTGTCATCAAACGGAATACTCCTAGTGTAGTGGTTATAGTAGATCGCACATCCTTGACCGCTACACACACTCTCTCATCTGCCCAAAGTTAACCCCTGCAACCAAGAAGATGGCGAAAAGAAAAAGAGATGAGGAGTATCGTAAATTTCAGGACGAATGGAAAGAAGAATTTACCTTTGTGGAGAGAGCAGGTTATTCGATTATAAGATTACATCGATGAAACGGTTGAATGTAAAGCGCCACTTCAACACACGCCATGATACGGTTGCATCAAAATACCCTGCGGGAAATAGCAGAAAGAAAGCACGCCAAGAGCTAATGAGCAGGGTGCAAACCAGCAAGCAGCAACTCCGCATATGGACCGAGTAAGGTGACTGTAACTCCACTAGCTTTATTAGATCTTTAGCAATAGTGAGGAAAGGAAAACTATTCACAGATGGCGAGTATGCTAAAACGTTCATGCTGGATGTAGCTAATACACTTTTTGATGATCTTCCGAACAACGACAAGATAATCAGTGGATACAAGACATGCCTCTATCGGCAAAAACTGTTCATGAGCGTACCATCATGATGGCAGCCCATGTGGACGAAGCGCAAATGAAAGACATAGATGCAGTGCCGTTCTTTTCCCTGGCTTTAGAATGAGTCAACAGACGTAATCCATTTGCGCAGTTCAGTGTGATTGCAAGATATGCCGCTGGTGATACACTGCGCGAAGACGGTCTTACTTTTCTGCCAATAAAAGGGTCCACAAGCAGTAAGGATTTATTCAAGTCCCTCATGGAGTTCGCTCAGGAAAAAAAGTACCTATGTATAAACTTATCTCAGTTTGTACTGATGGTGCTCCGTGTATGGTGGGGAAAAACAAGGGATTTGTGGCGCTTGTCTGTGAACAATAATATAGACCCACCCTAGGTTTCTATTGCAGTCTATACCAGGAGGCACTTTGTGCTCAGATATGTGACGGGCAGCTTGGTGAAGTGATGTCGTTGGTCATTCGTGTGATTAACTTTATTGCTGCCCGAGCCTTAAATGGTCGACAGTTTAAAACACTGCTGGATGAAGTTGGAAATAACTATCACGATCTGCTTTTGCACAGCAATATGCGTTAGTTGTCAAAAGGGAAGATGCTTAGTCGTTTTCCGGCTTGCTTGAACGAAACCCGGCCTTTCCTTGAAATGAAGGGCATTGAGCATCCTGAGCTAGCCGAAACTGAGTGGCTCCTCATGTTTTACTATCTCGTGGATATGACCGACCATCTGTACCAGCCCAAAGTTAAAATGCAAGGCAATGGAAATGCAGTGTTATCTCGTCAACAAGCCATGTTTCATTTTGAAAACAAGCTGGAGCTCTTCATCATGGACCTTGAAACAGGTCGTTTACTACACTTTGAAAAACTGAGACAATATACAGATGCATGCACAGTAAGTGAGCCCACTCAAAACTTTGATCTCCACCAGCTAGCTGGCTTCACATCCAGTCTCCTACAGTCGTTCAAACCACGCTCAAACCAATGCGCCACACCCTCTTTGTCTTTTCCGCTTTTATCTGTAGCTTACAGTAGCCCGCATGTGTACACTGATTGGTAACAGGACACACTGGTCGTGCCCTGGTGACCTTGGAATTCCCACTAGAGCCGAGCCCTAAGGCGGCTTACTATAAAGGCCGAAAAATACAAGGGAAATTAAGGTGGCCATTTTGGGCTTCGTAGGCGTCATCAGCAATTCATGCTTTACTCAAGTGTTTACCCAAATGTCGGTGCACCGGTCCGATTTCGAGCCGATTTCTTTGTTATTTACAAGTTCAATGCGCTCAGCAATGCGCCATGACCTCGCTTTCTTCTAGGTTCTTGATCGGGATTATACAGTAACATCTAGGCGTGCACCAATTGTTTGCAGGAAGCCCTTGTCCCACCCTGGTGCCCTTGGAGCTCGCACTCGAGCCACGCTCCAAGGCAGCTAATGATATAGGCAGAAGGACATTAAGGACAAAAACAAGGAAGACTATGCTTACCACTTCTGCCCTATTAGCCATGGTCACCTAGTCATACCCAGGCCATACCCACGTCGAGTGTTGTACCAGGAATAATTCCGCCTCTCGGGTTTCGAACCCGCGACCTTGTTAGTTAGAAATAAAACCCTCTGAGCACTGCGCCAAGTTTTCGCTATCTCGGCGGTTTTTGATCGGGCTTATACAGTAGCAGATAGGCGTACACAGATCAGTTACTGGACACCTTTGTCCCGCCCTGGTGCCTTTGGAGCACGCACTCGAGCCACGCCCTAAGGCGGCTTATGATATAGGTAGGAGGACATTTCGGACAAAGAGAAGGGAGCCTATGATTGCCATTTCTGCATGGTCACCTAGTCATACCAAAGTCAAGTTTTGTCCCAGGTATTCTTGCGTCGAACCTGCGACCATGTTATTTAGAAATATAACCCTTCGAGCACTGCACACACAAACACAGTACGCGCCAGAATTCGTGCAACATGCCGACATATGCGAAAGATTGATACTCTTTCACTAATCACCATTGACGCAGGTTGTAATACTGATTATCGTGTAGTCTATTCTGAAGTTATTTCAGTCATGAT